CTTTTGTTCTCTAATGACATGGGAGCTGTCTAATGGATTTCCATTAGAAATGTTTGCTGCACCAAGAAAATGCATGAGGTATTGCAGCTGGCTTCAAGGGAGGTCATTACAGAGAGACTGTAATTACTGTTTGCCTGGTAGCTCCATGATGTTCCTTTGGGACTGTTGTGGCTGTAGTGTGAGGATCCATCCATCTAGGAGCTTTCATTTGCATTTTGACAATGAGGTGCAAATGCTTCTGATGGCATTGAGCATGTCATAGTACCTTATAGGAAGAAGATCATGGATGTTACACACAGAGATTTGGGAATTGGTGTGTTTGTAGCTGTGTCATGGCCCATGCTCAGACCTGAGTCAGGGTAGCTAGTTGGGTCATACTGACTCTCCGTGGGGAAGCAGCATGTTATTGACACAGAGCAGTGAGGTGCTAAAATGAATCATGGCACACTGTGTATCTAGGCAGTGATGCAAAAGCACCAATGCAAAGTTGTGATGACTCATACTCTGTAAATCAGGGCACTAACACAAGCATTCATCAACAAAACGGCATTCTAGCTGGGTGCAGATTGCATGTGCGTTTCAACAAGAATGTGTCGCTCATTTCTACATGTATGGGCCTTTTGGAAGAGATCCCAGCAATAGACAGTAGTCTGGATTATGGTGCTTCACACCTCTGTTGCCTTACTGAAATTATTTCAGTAAATGTCTGTAATACAAAACTGATATTAGGAGGGAGTATTTATTAAGTTATGATTCAAATACATTAGGTGTGTCAGGCTTTAAATCCACAACATCAATTCTCAAGATACGAAGTGATCAAATTTTTAATATTTTAGTGTGCTGATAAAAATGTCTTTAATAATGGAAATATATTTTACTCTATGAATGATAGAAATCTAACCCTAATCCATCTCTTTCCTTGCACTTACTTTATTCGTGTCGCTAGGACTTCCAAGTGTAAGAGCTAATGAAATACTACTTATTTAAACGTGTCTGTCTGGAACAGCTTAAGCTGGTTTAGGTGGCTATATTCTGTTTACATCTTTTTTGGTATTTCCCTTTGGAACATTTTATAGTATGCAATCTATGTAGCCTTACATTTACATATTAACAGAAAAGTGAATTGCAAATTAAATTCTTACATGAAGTATTTGCAAGTAGAGGTTAACTGTGCGGAGCAACCTTTAAAATGCTGCAGCCTTTTGAAGGCACTTTAGTTTGAAATCACTTGTGTCAAAATGTTTCAGCATTTTCAGAGGTGCCTAACTTGTGGCTGGATCATTCTGACATGGTCTGTATGTTGTTTTCAGGCTTGTGATTTCTCTATACCCTAAATTTAAAAGGCTGCTTCCCATTACAATAGGCTATATATTGGCTATTGTAGGTTATAGCATACCAAAAAAGCCAGCTGTCTACTACTGTGATACTGTCCTGTCAACAGGTTTGGCTTTTCTGTTTTGAACAAACATAGTAATAGAACAAAAATAATAGAAAGCAAGATTTTTCTGATCTTTAGAAAAACGCAAGCTCTATAACTCAACATCTAGTCTTTAAATGGAATTTAGGAAGGTGAACTCTTGCAGCGTTTCCCCAGTTGTGCTGACAAACATAGAGCTGTGAGCAAGTTCAGTATATCCGAACAAAAGTTCATAGGCATTATACACAAAAGTTGCTAATTGCATGGTACATAGGGATTCTTGGGTCACGATGTTGTTTCTCCTAGCAAAAAAAAAAATCTCTGGAAGGTCATTTTTTGTTACTACAGCTGGCTGCAATTTGTAAGAAGCCAGCATTATTGAAAGGCATTTTCACCCATCCATATTTGAGGAGTTAAAAAACAAGTTGTACTTTCTTCAGGCTTCTGATGCATGATTCAGATTAGAGCCATTAAGATGAAATGTGCAAATCTGACTAGAATTCTTGCTCTCTCTCATCTCTGCAGTTTGGCACAAAGCTCTTTATTTTAGCTTCGCTTTTTCTGAAGTGAGATGGATAGCTATCAATAAATCAGGCAAGACATGCAATTGCTTTCACTCCTTGGGAATTATTTGCAAGATAGCTATCTTTACAGATGGGGTGGGGGAGCGATCAGCCTTTATGATAAAGGTCTATGGCAATTCCTTCCTAACTCAGCCTTACTTGCTGTAAGGTTGTTTTCATGACATCTTGTGTTTATTTTGGTTTGCTCTGTTTTCTACAAGTAGCTTGCTGAATTTTGCTGTCTAGTGCAAGAAGCCTCAATCTAAAAGGAAGACTGAATTGGTGGATTACTTACCATTCATGCATGTTCAGTGGGTAGATGCATGCCATGGCTACCTTAATGAAGTTTGAAACCTCAGTGTTGATTCACTCTATAAAGGGTGAAACTGGTTTTTTTTTTACTGTGTATGGTTTTTACTCTGCACTGGATCCCAGCACATCAGGCCATGCAGAAGTGACTGATGACTGTACTTGTGTGGCTGTAATGTAGACATAACGATGAGCTTGACTGACAGCTCGTCTTGTGAAGTAGCTCTTCTCTGTTGGACTCCTGACAGAGGCTCTGTAAGAGAGCATATGGTGTTCTTAAAATATGTTTAAGTACCGTTCCTGGGAGAACTTTACCTACCAGCAGGGGTTTGGCTTGGACCTCTTATTTCTCAGAATTGTGCTGATTTTTTCCCTCACACATTTCCTGCCACAGTATCACAGGTTTTAGAAATTCACAAGTTGAAAAATCGATCTGTTCACTAAGAAGAATACATTAGTGAATAACCTGTCTTGAAAAGGATGCACTTTCAATGAGAGAATTATCCAAGCTGTACTTTATGACTTCATGCTTTTGTGCATATTCCAGGTTTATTACCTGGGTGAGAGATCGATTACTCATCTCTGCCTCATCCTGGTTGTCAGGAAACTATTGATATGCATACTTTTAATTATGAGAGCATTGAATTGTGTGATGTTTGCTTTATCTTATTTGTATTCCTCATGCAACTCACAGGAGAAGATATTATGCTTGCTTTCCAATTTGTTATGCACAAGTTCTTTTCTCTGACAGTTCCTCAGAAAAGCCTTTCATATTTTTTTCTGCACAGCCTGTCACCATGCAGCTCTCTGCGGGCTGGAGTCTTTATTTGCTGGCTCCATCAACATAAATGCAAAACTGTTCTCTCTGTACCTGTGCTCTGGCCTGATTGACTGCGAGATCTGTCAGTCTAACATCAATAAATATGTATCATGTGCCTCATGAAGGTATTTTCACATATGTTTGTAAGATTTCATCTACGGTCTGTTGAACTCAACTGAAAAACAGCAGTTGGCATGGGTAGTTTGTATTAAGTGAATCTGCAATATGGAATCGATAATTCATTAATACTTGGTGTTTGCTAGATGCCCGTCTCAAAATAAGCATCTATTAAAAAGAACCAACAACAACTATTCTAGGGATGGAAATGTGTAGGCAACATTGTAAATCTTGTCAGCTGCCAAGTTACAAAAGACTGGCTCTGTTGGAAGGTAACTGCCTTCTGTGCTGCTGCCAGAAATGAAAGGGCGAGACCCCCGGTTCCCAAATTTTGCGCTCTCTGAATTTTCCTAAATAGCCCTGTGAGGGGGCAACTCTAATCCAGGCACCACGTGCAAGGGGAGACCCGGGGAGGGACACCAGTGCTGTGGTACATGTCTTTGCTGTGATATTTGTAGCACAGTTTGAGAAGCAGCAGCAGCAGCAGCATGGTGAGGGGATGGGGAGGGAGCAACAGGTAAGGGGCCCGTGCCCCGGCGTCTGCTGAAGCTGCGTTTAGCCGTGTCTGCGTGCATCGGCGTGGGAGCTCTCCTGCTTCACAGCGTGGGTGTGGGCTCCACTGCAGGGAGGTGGTTTGGGGCTGGGTGTTACACCATCGTGGTGCCTTCTGGATTTAAAATCTCTACATAACAAAAGTGGTTGTTTTAACAGTATTTCACTTAAAAGCCTATCTTAAACAAGAGAGAAAGGACATTTCCTGAGTCTTGTTGAAAGAGAAACTGAGGCTCTGCACTAGAAAGAAGTGTCTCATTTCCAGTGGGGGAAAAAAAAAAAAGACTTCTCACCGCAAAATGAAAAATTTCTTTCCACCCTGTCTTTTTTTCCCCATTAATGAATTTATCAAAAACCAAGGATACTGGCAGTGACAATCTGATACTTCAAAAATTGTCTACTTAAATGTGATCCTGAGACCAGAGTGCTTGCAGATGAGAGGTCAGCAGATGGGAGGCAGAATCCAGTAGCTATTCTACTAGGCTCTCTTTTGCTTTAAAAAAGCCAGGATAAATCTCTGCCACTTTTTGAGACTGAACAGACAGTGTGGAAAGTAAATGTGCTAGGATACCAAAGTGCTTTTAGTCACAGATATATTTAATGTTAACTAGTGATAAGACTTCCCAACTCTGCAGGAGAGACGGTGCAGCCCGGAAGTGAAGGCGGACAGGTTGGCATAATGGTTTCTCACTGACCTTCCTAACCTGGGAGGAGTCAATGCAGTCGTCAATGAAAAAACATATGAAGCTACAGCTTCTCTTCCTGTTTTATCTGAACTTCCTTCCACTTGAATTCCTTTTTCAGGAATGGCAAGGAATGTACTATGCGAAAAAGAAAAATGGAGATAGCATACAACAAAATGTGAAGATACTACCTGTTGTTGGACAGGGAGGGTAAGTATGAAAGCTAAAGCCATAGTTTAGGTTGGAGTTGAGGCTCAGTTTGGAGTTCAGCTGCTTTCAACAGACATTGGATTAACCTGTTACTGAGTATAAAGGAAACTTATGCAAGGAAGGGAGCATCAGATGTCTGCATTTAATTCCTTGGGGCAAAATCAACTTTACGTGCTCTGGGCAGGGAAAGTGAAATTCTCCTAACTCTCCCCAAAAAGGAGCCAAAGATGCAGATGTGCTCACTTGTGACTCTTACTCTTCTAATGCTCCCTGAAGAGCAAGTGCAGCCTCCTCTCTTTCTGTGCATTGTCTTGGGACCACTAGGACCTATGTCCTGTTCCACTGTGCACCTGTACTATGTCACTCCATGCTCACCTACTCATGGCTGTTGACGAGTGTCTTTATGTGATGAGGTCACTGTGTGCTTTGATCCTGGTCAAAATTCAAGCATGTCTTGATTTTTGTGCGACTTCCACTTGGTCTCCAAATAGAGCATTTAGAACACACAGGTATATGTTAGTTATTGGTACATTTATGATGAGTTCTTCTATATTATATTGGGAAAGAAAGTGGGTCAGATTGCATGCAGTAGCAATTTCAAAGTCCTCTAAGGCAACTCAAACACTAGTTAAAAGCACGGCACATTATCTTCCAGACTTGGCTGAGACAATCATTTAGAAAGGTGTGTCTTCATGAAGGAAAGGTCACATGCAGCTTCTTCATGCAGTTACTTCCTAAAAAAAAGTGGTTTGGGTTGATTTCATCCCTGGAAGTAATTCATGTTCTTTACTTTCCATCAATAGAGTGAAAACGTTTCAGCTTAAGGTGCCAAACTTGTAAGACCAATAAGTATTACATACATTGATACTTATGGAACAATCTAAGCCCATTTGAAGCTGTTTCTGGGTAATCAAGGGTATAGTTTTCAGTTTGATTGCTCAACCCCTAAATCTTGTAGAAGGTTTTGATTGTTGGACTGCACTGTTGCATGTTTTGCATTTATATCATACCTGAAACATCCTACAGTAGCCCAAAAGAAGCTGGGAGGGGAGGGCAGAGAGGAAGAGGAGGAGACAATCTTTGCAAAAGATGCTTCTATTTTGTGTTCCCCATCATGTGCAGAACTGTGGGTTTTTTCCATTCCCATTGAGCCTTCCTGCCAGAAGAGAATTTGTCCTCTATTAATTTGTTGCTCTTACCTATTTTGTGTATTAGTGCTAAATTAGAGCTGAGGTTCGGATGGGAATTAACATGCTGTTTTTTGCCTACAGAAAGATTAGACACTATGTGTCAATTAGTAGACTGTGCAATGACAACAATAAGGTAAGTGAAAATAGTGCTATGCTTGCTTTAGTTTGAGCCCTAAATATTACAAAATAATGGTCAATTTCTGAATAACTGGATTTCTCATATTAAATTGTAGGCAGAGAAGACATGTGAACGTGTTCAGGCTGAATCTCAGACAGGTACGACACATCTCTTCTGTCCTAATAAGCGGAGAATGCACCTGGGGAAAGAATAAAGCCCGTTGTTAGTGATCTGACTGAAAACCACAGTTGCACAGGATGGCCTGAACAGTACTCTTTAGCTAGCAACAAGCAGGGAATCCAGCTTAAAAGGCAGAAAAATAGGAAAGTAAATACAAGCCCTCTCTACCTGCCTCATTTGTTTTGGATGTGATATAAAGCAACCCGCCCTTGAAAATACAGTGATAGGGCCCCAAATTGGTATTGCGGTATTGATGGATTCAGTGTCACATTTCAGTTGTAGGTAGTGGATCCCTGTGACAAAATGAGAAATGATGCCGTCTAGTTGTCATGTTGCTGTGGCTGGTCTATAGCTAGTGGCATGTATGTTTGCATTGCTTTTAACTGTACTGGGGGGTATTTGCACGTGGGTGGAAATGAGGATGGCCAACACTACCATTCACCATCATTCCACATACCAACTCTTCAGTTAAGACATCCTTGGCATCTATGCTGCAGGTACTTGTTAATGGTAGCCTTGGTCGCACAGGTTGTATCTGTTGGAGTTGATAAGGGACCTGGGATACATTGCCTAGTTTGCTAGTGTGCAGTCTGCTTTGATCCACCAGTTCTTTGTGGCAGTTGTTACTTGAGTGAACTCAGGTGTGTTGCACAAGTTGTATTCACAGCTACAATTGTGTAACTGTGTCAAGAGAGGAACTTTTCCCTCCACAGTTAGATCCCTTCTGTGAAAACACATAGGGGTGTTCTGCCAGAGGGCATGACTGGGTTCATGACAGTGTAACTGGGCAAGAGTTTAAAAAGGAGCTTTCATTGGTTTTCATCTGCTGAAGCATTGTGGTAAATAGCTGCTGCTATCAGGCTTTCTCTGAGTTTCAGTTCCTTTAACATACATCTTAGGCACAACTTAATGTCATTGTACAATGTCATTTTCTCCATAGATATTCAGACCTGCAGACACAAAGACAGGAGGAAAGGATCACTAGATGTCAGATCCACAACATCACGAGGGAGTGATGGTATGTTAAACAAATAGATTTTTCTGATTTTTATATATATATATATTTTCAGATTTTTATGTGCCATCATACATACACATACAAATATAGGTAAGTATGTATGTCTGTATACACACACACGAATAAAATAGCAAGTCATCAATTCATGAACAGCTTTGCATTTGTCAGCCTCGTTTTCTTCTCTTGAACTATTTTGAGTATTTTTTTTGAACCAGTGGAGAACGGAAGGCTATCATCTACCATCCTGCATGGAAGACCTCATGAGATTCAATACAGATACTTTCAAGTACAAATGCCAAACTCTAAACCTCTCAAATGATTACATTTCTCACCTCTAATCTTGATAAAAATATGAAGATAATTTTTGTTTTCTTTTCACTGTGTTGTATTTTGCCCCATTAGATCACCCCAAACTTGATAGATGTTCACATATTCAAAACTGTTGCTGATACTTGCATGATTTTGTTAAAGCATACATCATTAGTCTAGGCAGCATACACTAGTGAAACATGGAAGTAGGTCTGTGCCAGTGAGAATACAGTCATGCTCCAATATAGCAAAAATAGCGTTGATTCTTCTTCTCAAGAGCTGCTCAGCACAAAGAGTAACAGAGATGTGTCTGCATTTTATAGGTAGCACAACATAATTATCCAGAAAAATCCCATCTTGGCCTTTTCTCTACAGAACCAAAATTGCTAACTGATATAAAAGATTTGTTTTTCAATTTCCAATGAATAATAGGCCAGAACCTCTGCTGTTTTAATTTGGCATATATCTTCACTTCAGAGGAGCTTCACTGATTTACCTCAGCTTGGAAGCTGACTCATTATGACTTGTCATGTTGCATCAGGCAGCAAAAGTAGATATATCTGTAATAACCCAAGTGCAATAGTTACCTACCTGTGCCTGCCAGTTTTTACACACACACATATGTATAGCTTTTCATTGAACATTTTAATTAGTTAAAATAAAAAAACAAAGCCATGATTTTGCCAGGCTGTTACAGCTACTTATCTCTGATCAAGGATATCAGGGGTTCAGCAACCATCTCTTTGAACCTGTGTGTCCCTAGCATAACAAGCATGTGTATGCATTCTGCAATAGATTGCCTCTGATGGGTACAGCAGGGTAAGCAGTTCAGAAAATGAATCAAGATTTCTTGGCTGAATCCTCCTGTCATGCCTTGTCGCTGAAATCAGGATACAAATTCTGCTTTATTTTCCACACAGGCAGCTCACAAAGGCGGCACTCTTCTATGGCCAGGATACATTCCATGACTATTGAAGCACCCATCACCAAGGTACTGTGCACTGTCAGTAGCTGTTGTCAGTTGTGCTGTACTGAAATACCAGGGCACAAGGCTCCAGTACTGAGGAGCAAGGCAGTGCCGGCCTCTTGTGCCACTTCTTCCCCTGTTCCACCTGCCCACTGGTGGAGCTCCAAAAAGCCAGATGCTCTGAACAAAGTTCTCCTACACCTGCTTAGTAGCATGCCCTCCATGTGGTCAGCCAATGCACGACCCTTTTTAAGGACTTCTGTCTATGTGAAGGAGAGAATAGAGTTCCTCCTTCTCACTTATGCATTGTACACTGCCTTCTGAAGCCATTCAAATATTTGGCAAAAATCAGCTCTTTAATAAATTGAGAGAGGCAAATGGAAGAAGGTTATATTAAATCCATTCAGAGATATTTTGATGCTGTGCTTTGAATGGGAAAGTCATTAATAAGACTACTGTCTTTAAGGCTACAATCTTGTTGCCAGAGTCAGTAGCAAACATCAGTGTTTTATTAAGATCCCTTTTCATTTTCTCCCACATGTGGATTAAAGTTGTAGATTTTGTTTATTTGCTATGAGTTTTCCATAGTAATTGATGAATGTCTGCTTTCTTAAATGAATTCTAAATTCAAAACCTGTCTAATGCTAAACTAGGTAATAAACATCATCAATGCTGCACAAGAGAGCAGTCCCATGCCAGTTGCAGAAGCTTTAGACCGGGTCTTGGAGATTTTAAGAACCACTGAATTGTACTCTCCACAACTGGGGACAAAAGATGAGGATCCACATACCAGTGACCTTGTTGGAGGGTTAATGACAGTAAGTACTCTCATAAACAGCTATTGATTAATGTTCCACTGCCTGATTTTCCCAGTTACTCAATCTTTATCACCTGGCATGTGCTTTGTCTCTACAATGCCAAATTTTCAGGAAAAACTGCGCACATACCTTAATAATGTATCTCTGAAAGTGGAAAGAAAATTGACTAGTCCCTTTGAAGCATTAGTTTTGCTAGAAATGGAAAGGAAAACCAATTCTTTTTTCAACGTGATTCAATTAAGAAAGGTATAGATGGGAAAGGAAGAAAGATAGCTAGATGCTTGTATTATTAATTTGGATTAGAAGGGCATGTTTTGGGGGCTTTTCAGTGTATAGAAAGAATGTGTTTTCAAAAGAATGCAAAATATGTTTTGTTGCTATTTCTTGGATTATATTTGTACCCGTAGAGACCCATAGAAAGATCAGAGTGCTTTGAGCTAGAAACATTAATGTTCGCGTATTAAAAGACAATCATACTCCACAGAATTAATAATTTAAATAAATAAGGCAAGAAAAAGACTGAAGGAGGCATGTATTAGTGTTGTTATGTTATGAAAAGAGGAACAGAGGCATTGGAAAAAGAAGTGTGGTACCCAAAGTTGAACAAAGGGCACGTAGCAAAACACGAACCCAAACCTTCAGAGCCTGGAGTCTAACCCTCCTGATAACAACTAGATGAACTTGGATTAATGTTACCTGTGTCTTAAGGATATGTTTTCCCATTAGTCTGTAGGTTGCATATAAAAGGCTACATCAGGAAAAAATTTGACAGGATGCAAAAAGGCTCACAAGATATGAGCTTTTCAGAGATGTCTCTGGGCTATTATCATTTCATGCTGTAACTATCAAGATGCCTTTGCAGTATCTATCAGAATCTTGAAACAGTTTAAATACGTTTTTGCCCTTTAAAATACCACAGCAAATATCTAATCAAGAGAAACAGACTTCAAGAATTCCAGGAGGACACCTGAATGGTTCATATAGGGTTGAATTTACTAAGTCAGTAGGCAAAATATATTGTTACCTTAATTATAAAAATATAGGAAGAATATTGATACATGTAATCATTAGAGTCTCAAAGTGAATCTTTTCTGCTGCTGAATACACACAGTCCATAAACTCAACTGTTTTCTCTTTTTTGTGAATTGTTGATTCTTACATAGATTTATATTCTGACTAGTCAGTCCATGGTCCCAGAACATGTAGGTAACAATATTGCAAAATACAAAATCCTTTCTAAAAATAAAACAAAGGCTATTTTATGGAGCAATAGAAAAGCTGAGAAAATCCCATTTCAGAGCATGAGGGTATATGGTATAGTATGAGTTTTAAAATGATCTGGGAGAAACATTTTTTCCAGCAAAGGGTCGGTTGAAAACAGAATCATATTATTCCACTTCATGTTCAGAAGTTATGTCTGAGTAGCGGAACAAGTAGTAGGTTATTGGATTTGACTCTCAAGCAGAATTCATAATGGGAAGGGCATTTGGAGTTCAAAGATGGATTTGCCAGATACAATTACACCTGCTATTTCAATTCTTGTTAAAAAACTAATCTTTGATTCTAAATCATGCAGTATCTGGTGTCCTAAAGATTTGTGTCATAGCAATGGTATTGAAGAGTCACTGAGCCAGGTATAGGAGTAGCACTCCCTTTCCTTTTAAATCACAAAGCTCCAGACTAATTTACTTACAAATGTGAAAATAAAAATGAGCTATAACAATTCTTTTAAGCGCAGACATTGCATGTTCAGATATAGCATCCACATTTACTTCTGCTATACTTTGAGTGTGTAACGTTGTTAGTAAGGTGCATTCAGAATTTTTTTTTTTTTTAAATAACTGGTTTTTTACATCATGGACTAAACATTAATGTGCAGTAACTAACAGCTGTACACATCAAAAGAGCAAGCAGGATTTGGGCCACAGCATTTATAATTATGAGCTGAAAAGTAAATTTTACATATATCATTCTGTTAGTTTTAATCCTTCACCTCAGTTTGCACGTCTAGGCATCATGCCAGCATTAAGCACTGAACTGGAGAATAAACAAGCACACGTTCTTCCTTGATAGAAGGGAAGCCTCAGCATAATTTGTTGCTCTGCAATCCCAGCAACAAATCATGAGATTCTTATGCTGCTGAGGTGACCTGATCTGCCAATACCAGGAGGAGGAGAGCAGAAGCATGTCTCCATCCATTCCCTCGCAGCACCCACCTTTGCTTGTTGATGTGCCATATGTATGTGGACATACCGTGTCCAGTTTGTGGCACGCATCCAGAACCTGTGTGTGTGTTGTCCAGACAAAGGTGGATGTGAGGCTGTAATTCCAGACCTCCATCTGCACTTGAGAAATTTGAGTTCTTACCTATCTCAGTTCATATTGTATCCCATGTTTTGCAGTTGCTCATCCATTATGAACTATATGTAAAGTAGTTAACAGTATATATATAACTATATATACATATAACTATATGTAAAATGTTAACAATACACAAAAAATAAGGGAGAGGCAGCTTTGATGACTGTGACAGGTTGTAGTCAGGCTCCTCTAAAGTCATTGTGCTACTATTTGGTGTCATCATCTTATAGACCTTTTGTACAATGACCTGCATGTAACTCTCAACTTTTATTGAACAGGATGGTTTACGAAGATTATCAGGGAATGAATACATATTGTCAGCAAAACGTAAGTTTTAATTTCGTGGTTACTCAGATATTAAAACATGTTAAGAAATCTAAAAAACAGGGGAAGTGTGATCAGATGTTCTTTTTAATAAGCATTGTTTGGTTTTGATTTGTTTTGGTTTTATTTATAAGCATTGTTCTGCAGTGTTACTGGGCTTTATAGAAATGAGAGTTGCCAGGTGTTACTACAGAAAAGAAAACACGTACACTGAGTAAAAGTGTACCTTGGGGGTATTAATAGTCATCTGCAAATATACTCCTCAACAGAAACTCATCAGGTCGCTGGCAGTTTGATCTCTCCAATCTCCCTCAATGACATACCCCCACGGATAACACAGGCAATGGAAAATGAAGAACACTGGGATTTTGATATCTTTGAACTCGAGGCTGCCACCCATAAAAGGTCAGTAGACTCAAGAGTCTGAAAACTGACTTAAATGTCATCCTGTAATGAGCTCTTTAATTTCTCTACTTGTACTTTTAAGATGGAATTACTGTTATTTTCAAAGTCAAATGTTTGAAGTTTTCTCGTTGTCATTTCTAGTTGTGTATGAACACAATTAAGTATCTTCTTTTTCATCATAAACAATTTCCTGCAGATTCCCATTAGATGTAAGTGAAGATTATATATCTTTGATATGGTATAATAACAAAACAACATAATTTTAAAAGCCTTCCTTTTCTGTTCTAAAGAATAAAAAAGTTCTACAAATCAAATTCTTGTCCTGTGGGGATTCAAATTCAAATTATGGCCAACTACACACAGAGTCAACATGATCAGTTGATACAGATCGTGTTTTATTTTCTTTCCATGTAACTGGGTAATTTTTATTCCTAAACAGTTCAAATGTGGCTTTTCAGCAGAATTCCCATTGCTTTTCTCTGGGATTAGAGGAAGGTCTTTATTCTAAAATCTTGGCAGGCTACATTTTATGCATAAGATTAACTGATGAGTATTTACTGATATATATAAGTAGGGCATACCTTTTCCATCAGTTTTCAAAAGCAGATCAGCAGTTTTGATAGACTGTACTTCATTAGTAACAAATGCTTACACTAAGACTGTAAATTGATCTTTCTGTTCAAATCCTTGTTTTTATTTTCCGATGCCTAGCAAAAGTTCTCCTTTTGGTCTAGTTTCATGTATCATGCCTTGTCTTAGCTTAAAGCTTACACGAGACACTAATTTGGAGGCTAGATCCTGCAATGAATTGACTGTCCTAAACCCTTGTCAAAATCCCAGATCTGTGAGAGCTTTGAAAGGTATTCAAAAGCAATGTCTAAGAAAAATAGCAAGCATTTAGTTAAAATATATGCACTTCATTTTAGACCATGGTTTTATGAGTCAAAAAAAGTGGGGGGGAAAAAAAAAGGTTTTTATTCTTCTTTGAGGTGATTTTATTGTAAGTAAGGAAATTTGCATACAGTTACTTTAGGGGTGGGTTTGTTTTGGTTTGGTTGGTTTTGGTGTGTTTTTTTTTTTTTGCTTTGCTACATTTTTCCATTTCTAATGAAGTGCCAAGATATGATAATTAAAAAAAAAAAGTCAAAATATAGTCAGTCTGTGTGATTTACAACATTTAATGTGCACATTGCAGTAACTTAAGAATTAATTATCCCAGCCAACTTGTATGAGATCACCAGATAGCCAACATGCATGAGATCACCAGACGGGTTTCTCTGTTCTTACTGATCAGGAGAGACCACAGAGGGACAAAGGAGGTACTTTGTTGCCTGTCCTCTTATTAAAGGTATTATAATTATGTTTGCTTCCTGCTGTGTTTAAATAAAGACAATTAATTTATTAAGAGAATTAAAGTGATCTTCAATGAATCACAGGTATAAATATGTTATTAGTATTGTCTTCAAGTCCAAGCAGACATATGGTAGTAAAGCCAAGATAATTCATTAAATCTAAGCTTCAGTGCATTACAGTTCACTAACACAGAAACCTGGAGAGACCTTTGTCTGACAGTGCTACATGGAGGGATTAAGGGGGATTTAACTTCAGTATATTATAAATCTAGTATATGACACGGTATTGTTGGGCATTTTTGCCAAAAGATGTACATCCAGCTCTAAATGACCTCACCTCACCTATCAGGTGCAGCTAAAAATCAGAGTGCTTGATGCATCTGGAATCAAGCAACAAAGATAGGTGCCAAAATAAGGTTTAAGATGTATTTTTAGGACTTCACGTTTGAAAATATTTACCACTATACCTGTTCTTCTTACACAAACAATGTATTGAATAAGAAAACAGCGATATGAACTGGGTTCGAAAAAAGGCTAGTGGACTAAAACTTTTTTTTTTTTATTTGCTGTATTAAACATATTGCACTTTCACAGCTTTCAGATTAGAAATATTCTGTACTGCTGTTCTCATCTTCATTCACCTGCCAGTTATCTGGGTTTAAATTGTGCAGTTTGGCCTGGGAGAAGCAAGAGTACTGGAATACAGTGATGTTGGCTATTTTTGGAGACAGGTCTTTGATGGGGTTAGCCTGAAGGTTCATTTGGCCCTTATAGTCTTCTAGAAATGGCATACTCTGGCCTGGTAGTTTGCTTCCAGAATACCTCCATCTCTCATCCTCTATTGCAAGCGAAGTCAATGAGCAATGGAAGCCTGATAGGGTAGGCATAAAAGAAATGGAGCAGATCTGCAGTGCAGAAAGAATAGTGATTGCAGCATTATATAGTATAGATATACTTAATCTAAACACAGTTTAGGAATCTGTGGCAGCACCAAGATTACCTCCCTCCTCTCATGCACAGAGTTTAGTACTTGCTAATTTACTTCATCTTGACTGCAGTCCACATTTACCCAACATAGACTCCCCAAGCCCCAAAATACTGCTACATGTAGTACAGCAGCCATATGGAGCTGGAATATTTAATATTCCTGGAAGTGTCAGGAACTGGCATGATTGTGAGAGTGTGCATGTAATGGGTACGCAGAACATATCTACAGGTCTGGATTGTAATTCTGGAACAAGTAACTTTATAGCTAATCTGACATGTCATTGGTTAAAACTACTGTATAGATTTACACTATTTATGCTATGTAATATTTTTTCAACCTCCTTTGTTTTAAAACTTTGTGTTCATTTTGCTCCACAGGCCTTTGGTTTATCTGGGTCTCAAAATATTTGCTCGCTTTGGAATCTGTGAATTCCTAAACTGTTCAGAATCAACTCTGAGGTCATGGTTACAAGTTATTGAAGCTAACTACCATTCCTCCAACTCCTACCATAATTCTACTCATTCAGCAGATGTACTACATGCCACTGCTTATTTCTTGTCTAAAGAAAGAGTGAAGGTGAGTCTACATTTATAAAAAATAGTGTAGGTGAGAAGTACAGGTGTGATCAAAGGAAGATCTCTCAAAAAAAGATGCCAAGACTCAAATGTCTACCTATTGCCAACTAGTTTGGTAACTCTGAGGTCAAGGAACTGGGCTGCTTTACATGAGTTCTAGGATCTCTCTTATATTATATGTGGAAGGATGGATACTAGTATTACAGGAATTGAGCTATTCTTGATAGGAGAATAAGAAAACCTCATTTTAAGACAAAACTTCATTGTATAGTTAAACTTTCTCGGATAGGTGAGATAATGACATAATTATTTGTGTGACGGTACATGCCAAATACAGATTTAATGTAATAAATTGCCATCTCTTATGCTTTGCGATGGTCATTTCGCAGAAGACTCCCAGGACAATATAGGCTGTAAAACAGGTTTAGTGCTTCCAAAGCTTGTCCACTGGATGAGATGCCCTGAGGCTTAGAGAGACGGCATTGGAGGAGAGTATTGAAAAAGATTACTTGTCGAAGTTCGTTGTACAATAACACCCAGTAGTATATTAGAGCCACTGACAACCAGAATAAATCAGAGCAACCTTTGTTCTCGCATGCCCAGAGGGCAGACTGGTGAAGGGGAATTAGAACAGTGCTCGCATGTGTTTGCAGTGGAGTGGCACTGCATATTTCTAAGTTGCATTTTTGGATAGAAATTCCTACCCTGAATTGCCTGCCTAAGGATAGAGCTAATGATGGGCACCTGGCTGAGACATTTGTGATGGTAAACAAGCTTCTGACAGCTCATTAAAACTGTAGTAACTCCCTTAACCTGGTGCTGCAGCTCATTAGTGTGCTCTCTGGAGGCTGACTTACAAATACGATATGCTAGGTGGGAATAGAACTTCAGTGGCTATTTTGAGCCCCCAATTTGCCAGAGGTTTAGCTGGTCTTCCTAAGTATATCTATGAAAACCAGACAAGATCTGGACTCATTTCAATGCCACAGAAGCATGACTGCTGCCTCCTGTTCCAGAATGTTATTTCCATTCCTCTCTAGGCATAGGAAGAGAAAAAAAAAAAAGTTGCACAGAAGGAGCAGCATCAAAGTTCAAAATTCTCTTTTCATCTTTTGAAAGGTACAGCCCAGCTGCTTTTCTGTTGTCCAGAGTTCAGCTTAACCTAAATATAGAAGGCCAGATTCTGCCACTCAAATTCACACCAAGAAAACCTTTTTTCAGTAAATTGAACTCTGTTCTTGCCTGGGAAAATTTTCTGGCTCCCAAATTGAAGCAGTATTCTCAGAATAATTTCCACTTCTGTGCCACAGGAGTTAAGATGACAAAGTTAGAATCCTTGACCTGAAGTTGGGGGTAAAGGTATTGTAGTATCTGTGAAGTTTATTATGTCAGACTCAGGAAATAAGTGTCAGATACACTGCTGTGGTCCTACAGGTCAAATAGTCTACAGTTTCTGGCCACTTCCCATCTGCACAGGTCTTTCTCAGCCAGACTGAGCACTGGTCAGTGTGTCCCTCTGAGGAGAGCCTGTTCTAAAAATCTCTCTCTCCTAACTTCATACAACAAAAATAGAATCCCATGAGCAGCAGCTGAGAGAAAGAAGGAAAAAGCTTAACACATGGCAGATAGTATTTCAGACAATGCTAATTATGAACCTAGAGCAGAAATAATTCTTTGCCTTTTCTTGTTCTCCACAAGACCTTCTTGACAGTCCTCAATGAATGATATCCTACCTCCATCAAAGTCAAGTCACTGCATTCATTTCAGGAGGTGTAAACTAGGGTAGAGATTGTCTTTTCACCTATGAAGTCTAACCATTCTGAATGGTAGTGTCAAAGCCAGTAGAGAATTTGGACCTTAAATTCAAGCTAATTGGAATGGAAATTATCTGTCTTGCTCCCAGATTCAACTGGGAACATTTCTGCTCTTGTGTCTCTTTCTGCTAATCTCATTAATTTTATTAAAATTTTTAACATAATTGTTTGGTATCTGTGATCCTTCACAAAAATCCAGCATAAAGGCTAGTTTCCAAATGTATACAATGTATTTCTGAGATGCTTTTTCTTCCTTATGCTATTAATACAGTATTAAAACGTAAGTATAAAACCTTAAAAATCAGATAGTGTTGTATTTCATTATAGGGTAGATATAATTAGATATAAAGCAATGACCAATGTAAGTAGACATAAAGCATGGAGTGCAGCATGCTAAGAGAATCAGAATCTGATACAGAAAGTATAGAACAGTGTGTCATGTAATTTTTTCATGGATGGAAACCATCAGGTATTCTTCATAGAATTCATATTAGGTATAGCCCCAGGATACTATTGTTATAGAACTGGATATATGGGAAACATTCCTTAGAAACTGTAAACCTAGCCAGCACATAAGTGGGATGTGATTAGGACGCATTAAGTTTCCAAAAGAAATGAAGGGGTCTGGTGGAAACAGGACAATTTTTAGCAGTATTGGTCTTTTTTCCAAGCCAAATACCCTAAATCCAAGTGAAGGTGGTTTCTTTGTTGTACAAAACACAAACTAATTTATTACAGTGCATTTGTTTTATTTGATGTGCTTTGTCAAAGGTGTAGCTAAAGCAAAATTCAAGAGGCACACAATGGCCCAAAAAGTCATGCACTGTTCAGTGAAGCTTATAATGAATTTTCCATTGTGCTGTGTAGAACATCTGACCCTTACTGACTTGCAGAGTTCTGGCTTTTATTCCTCAGCAACTTGGCTTAATCTTATGGACAGAGTAGGGTTTCTAATGAGTCTGCCAGGAAAACTAAGCATCCTTCTATTTTCAGCAAACTTTGGATCCGATTGATGAGGTTGCTGCACTCATTGCTGCCACAGTTCATGACGTGGATCACCCAGGAAGAACAAATTCTTTCCTGTGCAATGCTGGCAGTGAGCTAGCAATTCTCTACAATGACACCGCAGTGCTGGAGAGCCATCATGCTGCCCTGGCTTTCCAGCTCACCACCCGGGATGACAAATGCAATATATTTAAGAACATGGAGAGGTAAGCTTAAAACCCAGGGTCCTTGTCTACCCACTAACATCTCTGTCTTCTGTGTAAGACCAGATAACGTAAACAAGCATCCTAGAGGAGGGCAGTGCCTTGTGGATAACTGTCTGTAGCTCTTGTGGAACTTTGCTTTTGAAACAGTAGAGTGCTTGTGCCTGTCCTGAAGAGGCTTCGGAGTAATCCCATGATTTCTATTCCTCCTGTGGATAAAAAGGCGGACCTTATCTAAGGAACTTAGTGTAAGTCCTAAGACTTTAGCAAGTCTAGGAGTATCATTTTGTATCATTGGATGTAGAAGACAAGCTATGGCTTGAGTAGGTAGGTGTTTGCTGGGCAGAACAAGGTTAGAAAGAGTCACAGCGCATCAGTCAAAAATTAAATGCCTTGTTGCAATGGGAAGGATAGTGAAGGACCTGTTGTTCTTCTTCCAGCCCTAGAAAGGCATTTAGGGTGAGGATGTGACCATTGTCGTGGCTGTCTCAAGATACAGCGAAAAGTATTGCTGAAAACTTGGCTGTAGCATGAGCCACTGCTGAGTGTCTGTGCTGAAAGCCTTGGGAACATGCCAGTGTGGCATGTCTTGGCAGCCCTCCCGAGTAGCTGGTGCCTCTGCTTCTTCCCAGCTCTTGTACTGTTTCTCCTAGAGATCCAATAATGCCTCTAGCACATATGCCTCTGCACACCAAAGGATACTTCATCCAGCATAGATGCAGCTGCCCAAGTCTTTATTACCGTTCTTTCTTCCTCTAGCACCTCTCTTCAATGAAAATGATCTGTAGCATTTGTTAGACTTGTTTTAGCAAGCAGCCCTTTGTGAACCAGACAGCATTCTTAATTGTTTCCTTCTTTAAACAGGAATGAGTATCGAACCCTTCGCCAAGCCATTATTGACATGGTCTTAGCAACAGAAATGACAAAGCACTTTGAGCATGTCAACAAGTTTGTCAACAGCATTAATAAACCCTTGGCAGCGCTAGAAGAAAATGGGGTAAGCGACACTGCAAGTCCTTCTTAAAATGACTAGGCAGGGACTGGGAACCCTTGGTAGTAGGAAATCCCCACATGGTATTCTGAGAAAGTTCATCAGAAACGTGGAGAAAGAGAGACTTGAAATCTGTCTTTCACCTCTGTGTCTGAATGCCCTTCTGCTTAACATGGTCATCACACATTTTGAGGGACTCACTATTAATACTGCAGTGCTATGATGATCTACTTGGGACCAGAACCTTGGGCTGTATATTTTCCTGTTAGAAATGCCACTTTGATGAACCTGGTCACTCCCATGGAGAGAGTGCTAGTGGCAAGGCCTGGCATTGTTGTTGGCCATTTCTGCAAAGGGGCCACGATTTGCCTCGGAACAGAAGCTGAATTACTCCCTCACTCACAATGGGAACCGCTGGTGGTCCAGCATAAGGGCAGGTATATTGACTGCCATGTGGCGCATTCTCTGGAAATGAGGGCCCTAGCCTTCAGCGCTGCCTGGCAGTGTTCATGGGTTTTCTGTCTACTTTCTTTTTTAATCTTTGAAATAGATGATGGTGGCATTATGTATCATATAGACATAATCAATAGCCATCTGGAACCCCATGGACACAATGAAATTGCCTGTTAGGAACTCATTCTGAAAAACCACACCAGTTTCAATAACAGCTTCAACAAGCAGTTTTGTTGCCAGTAAGAGCAGTGTATAATTTTGTTGGAATGGTTTTTTGCAAAGAGAAGATTTTCAGTTTTAATACAGTTTGCACTGGTGGCAACGTCCTGTAGGGGCTGTAACGGTTTTCTGTGTTTTCTTACCATGTTTTTTAGAAAGCCACGTTTATGAGTGTTGTGTGTAATGGGGGAGCGGAGTCTTTTTATTATCTGAAGGTGAGAGAGGAACATGTGCTGTTCCTTCACCCATCAGAAGCAGGTTGGAGCTTAATTGGAGGACACTACCTTTGTCCACAGGAGTATATGCTAGAATTAGCTTTGTTCTTGGCACCCAACGATGCTAATGAGAACTATGTGAATGTGAAGCCAAAGTCCCAGTAGGATACTGGTTTTACTGACTTAACTAGGAGAAAAACTGTTAAGTCTGTGGCTATGAAGTGTTTTTCCCAGACAGCCTCACGTTACAGAATGTGGCTTAAAGTTACTGACAGATTATTACTGTTGATTTTTGTGGGTGCTGTGTTGGACCTTGTGTAATTATGAAGTTCACTGCCCAGGACCTATCTACGCTTTGTCACAAGTGCCTGTTCACTGCTACCAGAACCTAGAGAAGACCAGAACTAGTTTGTGCACACATTAGTCTTTAGATTGATTGATGATTTAATAGCTAAGCCATAAAAAAGGCTTAACACAGTTTAGTCTCCTACCTATTACAAATAAAGGAAGCATGGTGAAAAAACAGGCTTAAATTGTCAAGTTGTTGTCAAAGGTTACCAAGTGACAGGACTACCACCATCTCTTCAACCTATTGGCTCCATTTGTATACACATGTTATGATGCGGTCAGCCCTCAACTGTACCGTCAGATTCTGTTTTTCACTGACTGTGCTCTGACTTCAGAGCCCCTTCACTGCCCACTGTCTTGTCATGCTGTTTTCACTTCTTGCCCACCGTTGTGCTCCTTGGCTTCTCACTAGCTCTACCTCTCTTCCTCCTCTGTTTTCCAGCGCTAGCTTTCTCACTCAACAAGTCCCTCCTTTTTCAGCCATCCTCCCCTCTTTCAGTTCTGTTTGCTTACCAGTCTCCTCTCCTTCACAGTTCTCAGGACTTTTGTGTCACTCTACTCCTTCTCTTCACCTTTTTTCATATTGAATTCAGGCGACAACCTCCGCTTCCCTGCTGCTGTTTTTCTGCAGATTTTGTTTAGTGCAAGTACAAGAGAGACAGGCTCCCTGTTCTTAGCTAGAAAACTGGGGCCTGGGTAGTGCCTGGTCCAGCACAGCCAAGAACTACAGTTGCAGGGAGAGTCCTTTTCAGTCCCAGGCCCAGCAATCCCTATTGAGTCTACACAAACCGCAACTTTTTTCTCCAAAGTTTGTAACTGGTCCAGCAGTTTACCCCAAAACCATCCCTCCAACTAAATTCCAGGTCCTCACTCATAAAGATGTGAGGGTATTAAAAAAGAAAAAATCAGCAATAACTTTTAACATCAGCATGAAGAGCTTATTTCCCCCAACCTCATATTTAGAAGCCACTGAAACATTTTTAACTGCAGTTTTCAGGGGGGAAAAAGTCTTTGCCTGAGGCGGACACCTGGTGGGGAAACTTCAACCAAACAATCTAAATTGGCAGTTATGAACATTATTAAACAAAATCTTTTAATGTGAAGTGTCAGCCTGCAGGCTAGCCTACAACCGTAACGGTAGATGATCAAGCTGTTTCATTGTAGACCTTTCTTATAAACATACATATGTGTGAATTCATGATTGGGGAACTTTCCACAGAACCAGTTTTGCTTAGAACAATTTTAAGAAATAACATGCTAATACATTTATTGGAATGCCTGATAGACATTTTTTGTTTCAGGATATTTTAATGGAAACATAAAATAGATGGAAAATTGTGAGGCTAAACATTTCTCTGCTCAATTTCTTGATTGTAACAAACAAGAAGAAAAGAAGGGGAGCAATTCTTGGTAGATTACAAGCAAGTGAGCTAGCCAGGAAAAAACAGGGCACTTTGCTGTCTGTGCACGATGGTCTGCAGATGAAGGAGCTCCTTGAGGGTAGCTCCTTTACTCATCCCAGTGCTACCATACTGCATCCCTGCTCACCCCCCAGTGTAGTCCGTCATGCAGGCTCACTAGAGGACGTATTCTCTCAGTACTCCTGAAAAATGGCTTGTCTTTATAGCTCTTGAAAATATGCAGGGATGCAGTTGGACAGCCGCTCTGAGTGAGCGTAGCAGCATTCAGTGTAGGGAGGGAAGAGACATGGAGGAGACCAAGGGAGCTGCTGCTGGGTGTAGGGCCCTGCACTGGCTAACCTTGTGGAGTACACAACCCTAGGGCACCTGGTTCTGCTGGAGGGCTCTGTACTGGCCTGGCTCAGTGAACAGAGCCCCTTCTCCAAGACCCAAGAATTGGGATGCAGCAGGTTTTTGAGCAGCAGCATCCATCCAAAGAACCAAATTCCTCTTCTTGCATGTTATGGAGAGATGATAACTGTTGCTGATGAAGAACGAGGCTTGGACCTGTGCAGTCAGTCAGTAAAAACAAATACAGTGACATACAGCCCTGGGGGCTGCAGGGAAATAATCTGCCTCACAAGGCATTTGTGATTCATAGCAAATTCTACTCGATGGGAAGAAAGACAAATGCTGTATAATTTTTATTGAAAACAAGAAGCAAAATGTTTCCCTTCTTTTGGTTGGGAGTTTCTCAGTTCAGCCGG